GGGAATGTCTGTGAGTACATCCTCCATATACATGTTTAAGAGTGTTAATTTAACCTATGACTACCTCCCTATGATGACCTCCTGTTACACACTGTTTTCCTACTTACATCGATTGCACTTCTGGTGAGTCACTTAGCCTGTTGGAAAGAGAGAGTGAGAACAGGCTATTTTTACCTCGCTGAGGGCAGATTGAGGATCACCTTTTGTACAGTCTCATGCAATACAGATGATCTGTTGTTAAGGCGTGGAAGCCAATCAAATCAGCATCCCGAGGAGATGATGATGATGATGATGATGATGAGAGGTGAGAAGGTTGTGCAGTTATTTTGCTGCATCGGAAGTGGTCGATGAGGGCCCTCTGATTTAGTTAAATTAATCTTGTAGCCTGAGAAATCATTGAATAATTCAATAATATTAACAAGAGATGTAATTGAAGTCTCGGGGCTAGAGATGAATATCAAAACATCATCAGCATACAAGCTTATTTTATGACGAACGTCACCAATGAGCAGACCCTGTATAGCAGGCGTTACTCTGATGGCCTCGGCCATTACGAGCACAAATAAGAGAGGGGACAAAGGACAGCCCTGTCTGGTACCTCTGTGTGTGGAGAAGCTATTTGACCATAGCCCATTAGTAAGGACAGCAGCCTGAGGGTCATCATATAAAACCTTAACCCATTTTATTAAGTTGTCACCTAGACCAAATTTTGTCAGAGCAAACAAAAGGTAGGACCACTCCACACGGTCAAATGCTTTTTTCAGCATCTAGGGAGAGCACAAGACCATCCACAGCACTTCGTTGGTAGGCTTGAATAACATTAAGAACCCGCCTGACATTATTACATGAGTTACGGCCCTTAATGAAGCTAGTACCGGTCCCATTTCACAATTAGTGGCAATAAGTCCTCTAGCCGTGTGGCTAGGATTTTAGAAAGCAATTTTCTATCCATGTTCAGAAGGGCAATAGGTCTGTACGATGGGCATTTTCCCTTTTTGAGAATAAGTGAAATGTTAGCTTCCCTCAGTGTTTGAGGGAGGCGGTCATTTGAAAATGAGTGGTTAAACATATCAAGCAAAGGCTCAAGGATCAGGCCATGGAACTCCTTATAGAACTCACTACAAAACCCGTCTGGTCCTGGGGCCCTACCATTTTGCAGATTCTCAATTGCAAACATTATCTCTTCCTTGGTAATAGGGGCATTAAAGAGAGACCTCTGTTCTTCAGAAATAGTAGGGAGCTCAATCTTAGTAAATAAGTTTGGGTGCATCATTTGTCAGTTCTGAGGCAGAAAAGATTTGCATAACATTTCTTAAATTATACATTTATTTTCATATAAATGGCTGCTCTCTTTTTAGCTAGGTACGCCAAATATTTTCCTGGTTTATCGCCATGTTCATAAAGCTTTTGCCTGACAAATCTTATTTTATTTTCAGCGTCTTGTGTTAGGAGAGAGTCCAACGTTGCTCTAAGGACTGATATTTACTTTAATAGGGCAGGAGTGGGAACTTCTCTTTAGTTGCCAATTCTCTTTTGTTGCCGCTTTACAGAAGAGTGGCCAGAAAAAAGCCATTGCTTAAAGAAAAAAATAAGCAAACACGTTTGGTGTTCATCTAAAGGCATGTGGGAGACTCCAAACATATGGAAGAAGGTACTCTGGTCAGATGAGACTACAATTGAGCTTTCTGGCCATCAAGGAAAACGCTATGTCTGGCGCAAACCTAACACCTCTCATCACCCCGAGAACACCATCCCCACAGTGAAGCATGGTGGTGGCAGCATCATGCTCTGGGGATGTTTTTCATCGGCAGGGACTGGGAAACTGGTCAGAATTGAAGGAATGATGGATGGCGCTAAATACAGGGAAATTCTTGAGGGAAACCTGTTTCAGTCTTCCAGAGATTTGAGACGGGGACAGAGGTTCACCTTCCAGCAGGACAATGACCCTAAGCATACTGCTAAAGCAACACTCGAGTGGTTTAAGGGGAAACATTTAAATGTCTTGGAATGGCCTAGTCAAAGCCCAGACCTCAATCCAATTGAGAATCTGTGGTATGACTTAAAGATTGCTGTACACCAGCGGAACCCATCCAACTTGAAGGAGCAGGAGCAGTTTTGCCTTGAAGAATGGGCAAAAATCCCAGTGGCTAGATGTGCCAAGCTTATAGAGACATACCCCAAGAGACTTGCAGCTGTAATTGCTGCAAAAGGTGGCTCTACAAAGTATTGACTTTAGGGGGGTGAATAGTTATGCACGCTGAAGTTTTCTGTTTTTTTTGTCTTATTTCTTGTTTGTTTCACAAAAAAATATATTTTGCATCTTCAAAGTGGTAGGCATGTTGTGTAAATCAAATCATACAAACCCCCAAAAAATCCATTTTAATTCCAGGTTGTAAGGCAACAAAATAGGAAAAATGCCAAGGGGGGTGAATACTTTCGCAAACCACTGTATAGACCTTCTAGAGTTTAATTCGGGAGATGGTAACTCTTTACACAACCGCTCTCGTGGTGCCTCAAATCCTAATGAGTTAATTGTTACATTATTAATTTAATCAGGTAACAATTTAACATAGTTAGTTAATTAGAGAAATAACAGTCTTCAGATTAATGTTAAAAGTCAAGTCACGACACGTCCATGGCAGGCATTGTTGTCACCTTAGCTTGCTACACAACAACTTCTGTTTCCGTTTGAGCCACTCCTCCGTGCCAGCTTCATAATGGCGTTTTAATTCCAGGGTGTGCAGGAAGCTAGTCTTTAAGTGGCTGCATGCAGAGGCTCTGTGTCCTTCCTCGCATTGTAGAAGGCTGTTCTCTTAAGAGTGTCCCACATCTCGGGGTCAAAGTTTTTCACCACACCCTATTACACACCACTAGGGTTAAAGGGGTAGTCGCTAATCGGGTGTTTAGCCTTAATATGATATGCAGCTTACTGTACATACTGTAACCTAAACTTTTCTTCGTAATATTCCGTTTAGTAATTCATCATTACCTATTTTGCACTCACTGTATGTAAAATAAACAGTACATTATTGATGATGAAATGCTGGCCGGAATATATGGATCATAAGAAGTTTGCTGACATATTTGTATTTCTCATGATATAGATTCCTTAATTCCTATAGTCGTCCATGTTATAAGGGTGGGAACTGGACTAGGTCAGCAGCCTCACAGTAGAACTAGATGGTGTTACTGTGTTCTGTTCCCAGGGCCTAAAACCTCCATCGATCTGATGGCTCTAGGCTTCCCCCTGAAACAGACAGGGGGTATTACATCTTTAAAACAAGCTTTCTTATTGGAGATATTAGGTCATTAATTTCAAAGGCTTACATATGGAAATATTGACTCTTCCCAGACACCTTCTTATATCCTCATCTCTCCTATGTCCCGACCAGGCTTTCGATAAATACATCTCTTTTAGCCAAGGTAAAATTGATACGCCATGGATTTATTCATTTTAGAGAAACTGATAAACAATGTATTCAATTATTATATAATTACTATATTGGCCAATTGATTCATATGAAGGGGGAATGTATGGTGGCTTGGACATGTGTGGGAGATTCATGTATTCAATGATTTTGTGCATACACTACTTGGAAATTACAGTTACCTTTTCAAGGTTACTTCTAAAACTTTTTGACTAGATTGCATGGGTCAATATTATGAGATAGATAGAGATTTCAAGTCCTGATTTGAAATATGCTCCATCAGACACAAAGATCAAATGTAACATTACTAACAGCTGAACTCTAGCAGTTTTTCAAAAAAACAGTTTTATCCATTTCAAATCGTTTCGAAACTTAGAATGAAGCTATGACCTCCTTTTCTCCTCACTGTCACACCCTGATCGATTTCACCTGTCTTTGTGCTTGTCTCCACCCCCTCCAGGTGTCACCCATCTTCCCCATTATCCCCTGTGCATTTATACCTGTGTTCTCTGTTCGTCTGTTGCCAGTTCGTCTCGTCTCGTCAGGTCTTACCAGCGTGCTTTCCAGTCTTCCTGTTTTCTCAAGTTTCTGTTTCCTAGTTTCCCCGGCTGACCATTCTGCCTGCCCTGACCCCAAGCCTGCCTGACATTCTGTACCTGCCTGACTCTGCCCTGGATTACGGACCTCTGCCTGCCCTTGACCTGTCGTCTGCCTGCCCCCTGTTTGATCAATAAACATCTGTGATTCTAGCTGTCTGCATCTTATCCTGAGTTCTGATACTCAGTCTCTGAAAACCCATTGTAATTTACAATCCCTGAGAATCTAGAAAAAGAGACAAGTTTGAGGAGTGGGTGACCACAGTAAATACCAGTAAACTTTCACCACTAATGGGACACTACGGTAACACATTTAAATAAAATATGGTCCTGTTCCTAAAAGTAATTTCTGCATCTTTCTTAAATATGTACAATGTTGGCATAGAAACTAGAGACAAGTTTGAGGAGTGGGTGACCACAGTAACTTAAATACCAGTAAACTCTCACCACTAACAGGATAAGTCCCCTTCTACGGTAACACATTGAAATAAAATATGGTCCTGTTCATTAAAAAAGACAGCTGCATCTTTATAAAAAATGTACAATGTTGGCATTTTAATTAAAATGTATTATCAAAAAATGTATTCGCTATGGTGCCCACCTCTGTTCAGAGTTTACAGTGCAATTGAAACCGTATATATTTACAGTCCACTTCCCCAACCCTTCTACTTCCATTGAAACTCAGCAAGAGCACTTACACTCTGAGATGATTGGTATTTCAACGGTATCCACGTACAATATTTATTTCTTAAAAACGCTTGACAATACCACCAGAGGAAAGTCTTGGTGATTGACTTGGCAGGTTTTCAAAACATCCATTCTGGGAAGGAACACGATCGCTCATTGAAGCAGTTGCCCTCCTTAATATAGCGTGGCCAGAACCTAACGCCCTAATCTTTCCAGGTATTCACCACTGGACAGTGCGTATACGTCCACAGCCACTGCAGAAATGTTCTGTGGGCTTTCTTGGCCACTTTTACCCACTTCCCGTAGGGGGTAGGAGATCCATATTTTTAATATCGTTGGGCATGGGTCCTTGCAGTTTCATCTGGGCGTCTTGCACGGAGAGATTCACCAGGATGGGCGAGTTGATGGACATGAAGTTGGGATCAAAGTTGCTGCCGAGCTTAATCCACAGAGTCCTCTTGGCCAGGTCCTGTTCCCGGGGGTCGTATTCCTCCTTGAGGCCTGGCCCGGGAAGATGAAGGTGCTCGTTGGGCGAGGGGTGCAGACCTAGATAATGTTGAGAAACTCACAAGTAAATGGACAGAAGTCCACAAACTAGTAGCGTCTGTGAGAAGGCCATTTTTATCTTGTTTGCGTAAAGGCTCTTCTGGTGCACTTTGAAATGAGTAGCCGCACAAGCAAGACGAGAGGCACGAGCAAGACGATACATTAAATAGACCATGTCTAGACATCATGGCTTAACCATGACAATCACAAGAAACCCTTTTGGCTTCGAAAAAATGTATTGTGGCACTGCCTTCTCGCACAAGCGAGGGGCATGTTGAGGTATATTTGCTAACTGCGAGGGTTGCATGATGTAATCTCTTGACGGGCTGGAAGATGGACTCTTGTATTTTCTATGTTCACTCGCACTGTCATATGAGATATTACGATTAATATACAGTACCAGTCAAAAGTTTGGACAGACCTACTCATTCCAGGGTTTTTCTTTATTATTTTTTTACTATTTTCTACATTGTAGAATAAACTATGAAATAACACATATGGAATCATGTAGTAACCAAAAAAGTGTTAAACAAATCAAAATATATTTTTTATTTTAGATTCTTCAAAGTAGCCACCCTTTGCCTTGATGGCAGCTTTGCACACTCTTGGCATTCTCTCAACCAGCTTCACCTGGAATGCTTTTCCAACAGTCTTGAAGCTCCTGTAAGTCGCTCTGGATAAGAGCGTCTGCTAAATGACTAAAAATGTAAAATGTAAAGGAGTTGCCACGTATGCTGAGCACTTGTTGGCTGCTTTTCCTTCACTGTGGTCCAACTCATCCCAAACCATCTCAATTGGGTTGAGGTTGGGTGATTGTGGAGGCCAGGTCATCTGATGCAGCACTCCATCACTCTCCTTCTTGGTCAAATAGCCCTTACACAGCCTGGAGGTGTGTTGGGTCATTGTCCTGTTGAAAAACAAATGGGATGGCGTATCGCTGCAGAATGCAGAATGAACAATGTCCATTGAGAACGCACAACGACTATACCACTTAGCTAAGAATGACGTGAATAATCAAGTCAATAAACGTTGGGTAGTTAGTTAGATTATAGTTAATATACTGCCTGGCAAGTTTGATGTATTAGTAGCCAATTAACGTTAAAATTACTCGTTAGCAGTGGTGGAAAAAGTACCCAATTGTCATACTTAAAAGTGAAAGTCACCCAGTAAAATACTACATGAGTAAAAGTCTAAAAGTATCTGGTTTTAAATATACTTAAGTATCAAAAGTAAATGTAATTGATAACATTTACTTAAGTGTCAAAAGTAAAAGTATAAATCATTTAAAGTGGCGCAGTGGTCTAAGGCTGTGCCACTAGAGATCCTGGTTCGAATCCAGGCTTGACCAGGAGACCCATGAAGCGGCGCACAATTGGTCCAGGGTAGGGGAGGGAATGGCCGGCAGGGATGTAGCTCAGTTGGTAGAGCATGGCGTTTGCAACGCCAGGGTTGTGGGTTTGATTCCCACGGGGGGCCAGTATTAAAAATAATGTATGCACTCACTAACTGTAAGTCGCTCTGGATAAGAGCGTCTGCTAAATGACTAAAATGTAAATATTAAGCAAACCAAACAGCACAATTTTCTTATTTTTTAAATTTACAGATAGCCAGGGGCACACTCCAACACTCAGACATAATTTACAAACGAAGCATGTGTGTTTAGTGAGTCTGCCAGATCAGAGGTTCTCTTGATAAGTGCGTAAATTGGACCATTTTCCTGTCCTGCTAAGCATTCAAAATGTAACAAATACTTTTGGGTATCAGGGAAAATATATGGAGTAAAAAGTACATTATTTTCTTTAGGAATGTAGTGAAGTAAAAGTAAAAGTTGTCATAAAATAAAGATAGTAAAGTACAGATACCCAGAAAATACTTAAGTAGTACTTTAAAGTATTTTTTACTTAAGTACTTTACACAACTGCATTTACAGGTGTAGTGTCTTGGCTCTGTGATTGTGCTGACATTGCAAATGGTGTAACAGATGAACTTTACTCTACTTTGCTGAAACATCTGGAAAGCATTACTAAAGTTCCTGGAAAAAAGGATATGGGGAGATATGTGAAAAAGGCCAGGGATTGGATATTAAAATCACGCCATACTATGTCATATATGATATAAATACCATGTCTTGAACAGAGAGAGGGGGGGAATAGCGAATTACAGAATTGGCTCCTGCTGTTCTTCAGATATCTGCAGGTATCTGTAAATCTGACGCTGAAACTCTTTGTTATAATAAACCTTTATAAACAAAGTACAGTGTCGGCGGACTTCTTATCATCACGGCATTATCAGCAAAGGTTTGTTTTCGGCAACCACATTAATGGCGACGAGGTTGTTTTATTTTTTTTGGGTCGTGATACATCTTTTCTCTGCATTCCATTCCTGGGCTACAAAGTGACTCCCGCTCAAGAAGCCGGCAGATAAGGTGAGCTTAATCCCTAACATTGGGCGCTGGCCGTTTTGTGAGTCCAGAGTGTGTGCGTTCAAGATGTACCGTCAAATTACTTGTGCGTGCGTTTTGCTGGTTTTTTGCTGTGTGATAGGAATTCCGTTCTAAATTTTCTAAATTAGTTTGCGTTGAGAACAACGCAAAAAGTGGGGAGTGTCTATAGGGCACACCGATAGGGCACACATATATTTGACTTTAATAAAAGGAAAAGGAGTGTCCAGGAAAATTATGAAGAAATAAGGCCAGGAATAAAAGACAGTATACTTTTAGGACGCCGTTAATTTAAGGAAGCCCTTGAAAACGAGGCGATCAATATGATGGGCCATAAATCTTGATAGTTATTAGATTAACTCTCAAGTCAGTTTCTGTGAACTGCAGGTTGTAGAAGATATTCAATTGTATGTTAACCGCTCAGAATCTATTTGACGAAGTATTTGTCTGAAGTAATCCTCTCTTTTGAATGTCTACAACCTGAAGGTAGCAGAAATTTAGCAAAGGAATATAAAGGAAAATAGGGACGGCGGTAAGCATGCTTTGTATGAACGGATGCATTCTTTTCGTGTGTGTATGACAGAAACGAAGCCTGTGTGTGTGTATGTGTGTGTATGAGAGGAGAAACCTACGTGTGTGAGAGAGAGAGAAAAAAAAATAAAAAAGAGGTCTCTGATGAGTTCCAGCTGTGTGTCGACTAAGGCTATGACAACAGGGGTTTTAGTCTTTTGTAAGGAAATATGTTAGTTAAGGTTAAAACCTTATGAGTCTCTATAAAAAGAGAACGTTCATTAACTATTAGAATAGCATGACCCTACAGGGAGGATTTTTTAAAGAGTGTATAGAGATGTTTTGTAATTGATAACAACATAACTATAAATCTGCAGATTAGGATAAGTGAAGATAACAAACTTGGAAGTGGGGATTTGTGTTGTATGTTCTATGTGTTCCGTGTTCGTTTGTGAGTTCTGTTAAGTCTTATTGTTTGTCTATGGGAGGAGAAGAACGGAGCGACAGTGTTTCCTTTCACTCTGAAATCACATTGGTGACTGAACTGCGCACGCGTAGGATTGTTATGAGTTTAGAGTTACGTACAACAGATGTGCCACTCCCCTGCCTCCACTGAACTGCTGGGAGAGGCCAGTCTTAGAGCAGACCAGGAGGGAGGGAATCTTGCACACAAGTGGAATGTTCCTTGTTGAATTAACTGTTGCTTTGACTGTGAAACTGTTTGGTTGATAATCGGTTGAGTTGGTGAATGAGAGATATATTGACGGATTAAAAATAATAATAATAAAATAAATAAATTAAATAAAATGTTATTGAGCTATGTTATAATATTCCTGAGTTAAGCTGTTTGCTTATTTCTTAGCGTGAATGTGAAAAAAAAAAAAAAACTAAATTCTTGTTTGTTCTTTTGTCTTTTCTGTCATATGAGGAGAGAGAAGGGAGGAGACAGAGGAGAGAGAGAGAGAGAGGAGAGAGAGGAGGTACTGACATCAGCTGACATCAGCGACAACAAACCCAAGTCCAATCAAGGCCAGTACTGTTCTTATCCACAAAACCTACTTCCCTTACAGGATATAATTGATACATTGTGTCTACATAGAATATTTCATGGTTGTGACCATTCGCAGGGAACTTGGAACAGACTTGATGAATTGAATCTAATGATAATTGCACATTAGAGTTTGTGTGAATGACTTGTTTTGATTAGAGTTGTGTTGGAAATCCAGCATTGACATATTCTGTAAAATTAAGGTAATAGGTTGCTTATTAAGCAATTGGGTTGTGAGTGCTCTAGTGTTGCTGGTACAGGTCTTTTATTTTTGGATGCTCTTGAAGTTGATACTTTCCTTTACTTTTCCTGATCGATGTGGGTAAGACTGCCACTAATCAATAATTTGTAAAATAAAATTCACAAAATAAATTGATATTATTGATTGATTAGTTGATTGATTGGATTGATTGGTTGATTGATTGAATTAGTGGATTAGTTGGTTGATTGATTGATTGATTTAATTGGTTGATGTTTTATTGATTAGTTGATTGATTGGATTGATTGATTGTTGATTGATTTATTTAGTTGATTGATTGATTGATTTGATTGTTGGTTGATTGATTGATTGATTTAATTGGTTGATGTATTGATTGATAGTTGTTTGATTGGATTGATTGATTGTTTGATTGATTTAGTTAGTTGATTGATTGATTGGAGTAGTTGGTTGATTGATTGATTGATTTAATTGGTTGATGTATGATTGTGTTTGATTGATTTAGTTAGTTGATTGATTGATTGGATTAGTTGATTGGTTGATTGATTTAATTGGTTAATTGATGATTTGATTAATTGATTAATTTTTTTTAATTAAAATAAAATAAAAATGTTTTTTTTATAAATAGAAAAATTCTGATTAAATAATAAAATAATAAAACATTTAAAAATAAATAACAAAATTTAAAATGATATATAAAAAAAAAAGAATAAAAAAAGAGGGGAACACATAACAGAGTCTTATAATGGGGAAAAAGGACATCAAAACTACAAAAGCAATTACTCCTCTTGATGTAGTACAGAATAGTAATCCTCTAGTTAATGGTATAGCCAAAATTATCTGAAAAATGGAATAAACGTTGAACCTGACATTGAACAACCATGGCAGTGAAGGGGACTCTAACCAAGACGTCCTCAAGATAATGCAAGTGCTTGTTCCACGTATAATGCAGATCAAAAGAAGGGGAAAGAAA